GCCGCACCTTGCGGACACTCGGTCTGCAAATGACCAAATATGATCCACGCGACCCGAATCGGGTCATACCAGAAGGTTGCTTCTCGGAGGCAGGGCTTGAGGAGATAAACCTGCCAGCAGACTTCTGCTGGATGGGACCGGCAGCGTTCGAACACTGCGACAGGCTGCAGACCGTGGACATTTCACGGACTTACATCAATGAAATCTTAGGGGGCACTTTCGCACGCTGCTCCCAGCTACAGCATCTCAAGCTGGCCAAGACTTTGAGACGCATTGGGCGAGATGCCTTTCTGAGGTGTACTTCCCTGGAAGAAATACATTCTCCACCTGCCCTGCTGTACATTAACAAGCGAGCGTTTGCTGGTTGTACTCAGCTATGCAAACTCGTCCGGATGGGCAAGAAAAGAACCTGGAGGGGTACCTATGCAGAACATGATGCATTCGAGATGTGCGCTAAACTGGCACTCCCAACATGGATTCGGTTTCTCCCCAAGCCCACTGCTGCAAAAGAAGAGTGGGCGGACTTCATGAGAAGTTGCGCAGAAGCCAATCCTAGTGCTGCCGCACGTCGGTAACAATGCATGCAAAAGTGTCTGGGGAATGGGACTCCCAGAGTAGCTTGGCTAATCGGCTCGGAGCTATAGCTAGCAGATCAGCAAGGAGTCGCAGGTCGGTGACTCCATTTGCCAACTTTGCCAGAGCAACTGAGTAGATAGCCAGCTCCCCTGGCTGCCTCCCAAGAGGTGGTCAGGGCGTGGTACGGTGTGCAGTTCTCTGGTACTAGGGGTGGCGGCGTTTCGAACGTAGTTCATGAGGCTTGCATGACGTCTAGAACTTCGGTGCACTCGAGTGACCCTAGAAAAATGCAGAACCTGCCGAGGCTGGCCCACCGTGCCATACTTGCTCTTGCTTTCGGGTGACTTGCACTTTGGTAGTAATCGGAGAGGCTCATCTTGCTACGCTGTGTGACCACAGCAGGTCCCGATTGACCTGGTTTTGGAACTGCTTTCTGGGTGCACGCCTTCATCACCTCCCCCCTTCGGGGGGAGGTGGTTGGTCTCGTAGCTACATCTCCACATGCCACTGCTAGCCCGCTGCAGGCCTCTTATGATCTTCGGCCCTTTTTCAAGTTCGCATGTTTGACCAGAGATACCATATATAGAGTCATGCCTCTTACGACTCGGGATAGAGGCAGTGGCTTCTGTGGGTCGGCATGCACGCACCTTACTACTTCCTGGATTGTCTTGCCTTGATGTGTCCTCTATGTCGAGAGGGGGTGATGCCCATTGCCTACCCTACCTCTTGCCCTAGCACATACTCGGCGTATTACAATGCTCAAGCAAAGGCCATGAGCCAGCCGGAATTTTGTCCCGCAAACTGGAGGACCTTTCGTTACAGAGTAGGCCAATTAGGAGCAAATCTACGTTAGCATAGGCTCGTTCGTGCTCTTTGATACAAGTTTCGTCTTGCCTAGCTCCGAAACTGGCCTGGAAAGCACCTCACATTTGCATCCGGTCTTGCTTAACGACGACTGTGCAGCACAACACCTGTGTCGGGACACTCGTCACCCAACTAACAGGAAGGGGCTTGATGATGGACATCCTTAACTGAGTGCAGCCTGAATGTTGAATTCATTGCCCCGTTTCACTCTCGTGTTAGATCTCCGGATCTTCACCTTTTTGTTTCACATCTCGGGAGGATATGAGCCTGCTCCTGTTGTGTGGGTTGTTGTTGTTTGGTTGGTGTTTGGTTGTTTGTTGCTGGGCCTTTTTGGTTCTGGCTCGTGTCTTCTCATCCTACTCTGAATTCATTCAAGGTGACTTGTGCCTCTCGGCACACACAGCGCCCGTACCCGTGCAAAAAAGCAGGCAGGTTTTCCACTAAGTATTCCTCGAGCATGTCCCAATTATGGTGTATGCTCACAGGCACTACAATTTGAATGACGGTTCCTGCCACAGTGACAAGGTGGAGGCTAAGAGCTGTTGCCAGCAAACTCGTTGTCCTCATTGCGCGACAGGGACATATCCATGCCCATATAGGTGTCAAGGGGGCATCGGGACTGCAACAAACGACCATCCCGCAATCTACGACAGCTGGTTTGAGCCGACTGCAGAGGGGAGACAGTCACTCTCCCAACGCTCCATGTTGTCTTGTGTTCATGGGTGCTTGGGTGTTGCCGCCTATTGTCAAAGGAAGTTTAGTGTGCAAAACTTCCGTGTTACGGACATTCAACAGCTGTTCAACCACCACTCATCATACACCACTCATCACACACCACTCATCACACACCACTCATCACACACCACTCATCACACAC